GGTTTCATCCCTTTTTTTCCTCATCCTCACTCTTCTTTTTCTCTCAAGTTCAAAGTCCCTGAGCATGATATTTCAGGCCTCAAGGTTCAGCGCCTCGGGACGTAAAGTGCCCCTCCTCGAGCCACGCCGAAGCGAAGCATGCCGCTCACACACAAACCCCACAGAGGCCGCAGTGGAGTGGTCCAGCAACACAACGGTGTCCTTCCCACTCACAGTGCACACACATAATGACAGTCTCACATGCTCACATCAGAGAGGCACTGCGGCATTCACTAAAATGTACACGCAAAGCACCGCCGGCAGGAAAGGGAAAGAAAAACACAAGAAAAGAACAACAACAACAACAGGATACCAACAGCACATAAGGCACTCACAATACAATAATTACAGCTGCCACTCCCATCAGAGAAAAACATTCACACACACCAGCATATCAACTCAACCCCAAAAAAGAAAAGAAAAAAACAGACCCATTACGTGAAGCCGAAGCGGAACAGTCTCACTCCACCTCCCCGCAGGCTGCAGTCACTCAACCACACAACAAACACCACAAGGGCAGAAATATGTTCGTGGCAATGCCGTGAGTGACACCACCGAGAGAGAAGGTGAGAACAAAGAAATGTGTTTTCATTACGTGGGTGGCGTGAGTAGCAACCCAAACACACAAAGGAAGACACAACAGAGGGAAACACTGAAACACCTACAACCCACCAATCTTTATACCAAAATAAAAATGCAAAAAAAGAGTGACTGCGTGAGGCAGACACAATAATAGAGCAAAGATGTAAAAACAAAAAAAAAATTCATTACTTACTGTGGCTGCCATGCCTGGACACAGTTCAATCCACCCCAAGGTTAACAACGGAAAATCATTGTGTACTGAACGTGCCGTTCCCATATCTTTATTCTTGATGTCCGTGGAGCAGTTTGTATATAATGAAAAAAAAAACATTCCATAAAAATGAACACACAATATACACAAGGTGTACCGGAAACGCAAAAGAGAAACACACAGCTGCACATAACGTGCAATGAAATGATAATGAAACACACACAAGGGAAAAGCAATAGAATGAAAACAAAACAAAAAAAAAGCCGTGATCACCATGTGAATATGTTCAGGAGGCAATAACACAATTTCCAGCAGTAGGTGTGTGTGTGTCTTTCGTACAGGGCGAGCAATGGGAATAATGCACACATGATGACACTCCATACACACACACAAAGAGAAGGAAGGCTGGTGGTGTGCGTGTTTGTGTGTCTTGAACCTCCTGCCATTCTTCACATTTCAGTCACAGCAATTACAACACATTGGGATTGTATCCCATTTCCATGGGTAAAAGCAATAATTAGTAATATCACGGAACACACACACATCACCAGGAGGACACAATAAATGGCGGCAAAACAGAACCCAGATAATAATGCCAACAAACAAAGAGGACACTCCCCTCACAAAATGATGGTTTGTCATGTGATGAGTGCCATAGGGAGTCCAATAGATGTGTTCAGCATAAAAGTGCAAATAAGAGATTTATCGTGATGGAAAAAAGAAGGGCTGATATCCAACCAAAAGAACAGTACCCTTACAATGCATCCATATCCACTCAAACAAAGGTTAACTGTGCAACTGTGTCATGGGAACACCGATTAGCAAACGAGAGTGCTACCCAGCACACACAACAGAAGCAAGAATAAGGGACTGTGCACCAATGAAGGACTGTGACTGTTGTCATTCTTCTTAGTCGCTTCTGCTTTTTTTCTCGCCTCTTCCGCCGCTCGTTCCAGCTGTTCTTTTTCTTTCTTCTCCAATGCAACTCTAGCTTTTTCTTCTGCATCCCTCCTTTCCTGTTCTTGTTTAGCTTTTTCTTCTTGGTCTCTTTTTTCATCATCTTTTCTTTTCTCCGCCTCTTCGTCTGCTGCTTTTTTCTTCTTCGCCTGTTCTTCAGCCATTCTCTTCCTCTCCAGTTCTTCTTGAGCCATTCTCTCCTTTTCCTTGGCCAGTCTTTGTTCTTCCAACCTCGTTTGCTTCTCTCTTTCCTGTCTCGCTGCCTCTTCCTTTCTTGCTTGTTCTTCTTTAGCCTTCACCTCCTCTGCTATCCGCTGCCTTGCCTTTGCTTTTGCATCCCTCAACTTGTCATCAATAGTTGATTCTGTTTTTGTTATTAAGGCATTTTGTTTTGTAATGGGAACGACCTTGGCAATTAAACTCAAAACCTCTTCGACTGATCGTGTGATTTCACTATCGTCACCAGAGGGTTGGAATGCCTGCTTCACCCCATCCATTTTCGTTTTTGCGGCCTTCATATGCTCCACAAGATCCCACAAAAACAGGATCTTGTTCTTTCCAACCAGTGCACCAAGTTCCCCAGTAACGTTAGACAGTTTGTAGAAAGTCCAATTGCTTATTTCAGCAAGTTTTTTTTTTTCCAGTGTCCAGTACGTCTTATTTTTTTCCTCAAGTCTCTCCCCCATATAATATTCTCTCGTTGCGTTGAATGTTAACGCGTCAACCATGCTACCAAGCGAATCCGTACAGGTATCTTTTATCCTCTTGACGTCTTTGACCGCTGCTGTCGTCTCAATCACCGCATTTTTCACGCCCTCGACCAATTCTTTAATTTTAGTTCCCACCTCACTCTCAACTGGTTTGAGGGCACCCTTTTTCTCGTTGACATAATCAGTGGTTTCATTCGCTGCGGCTTCGGTGCGATTGGCACTCTCCCTACACCGTCTCAGTTCGTCTTCCCAAACAGAGAAACATCCGACCCCCTCCTCTAGCAGTTGACCTGCCTTTATTAACCACGCGGCTGTCACATTCTCCGCCGACAAAACCTCATCATGTTCAGTCCGTTTGACAACAACCACCTCACCACCGTCCGGACCCGACGCCCCTTCTACACTGACAGTTGCACTCACCAAACTCACACAGAAGTGCAGAAGTACCAACAGGTACACCATACGGCGCAGTTGGACGAACATCGTTGTCATGATTGTCACTGTGAGTTCCTTGGATCTATGGTAACAAGAAAAAAGAGGAAAAGGAGAAAAGAGACGCACATTTAACACACATAGCAGAGAGTACACATCAACACAGAAAGAGAGTGAGAGAGTACACATCACAAGAGCAATCAAACACAACTCAATGAGGGGAACAACTGTAAACCACTCACACAATAAAACACACCCAGAGTTACACAGATATTGAAACAACACCTTGAACTTAGAAGAAGTGGAAAACAAATGGTATCAAAACAATATTGAATGGACGTCTCTACACACACTCCAGTATCTTACTCGGCATTCATACACAAACAAAGTGCGTCTGCATTCTCATTATAATAAAACCATTACCAGCCAGTCTGAACACCAAAAACACAGTGTACGCCTGGCAACATACAAAACCAATACCACCAATCATCAGCAAAACAAAGAAACTGAACAATAATCAACACACTTCCAAACAGAAAAAAAAGAAAAGAAACCAATGTATCACCATAATATTTATACCAACACCACAATTGGAATCTAAAACCCACTCACCCACAACCATAAACAAAAATGACTGCATACATCCCTGTAATACCATGCCACTCTTTACAAACAGAGGCAACACAAAAAATTACTCTCTCTCACACACATATTACCTCTTTGTTTATCCATATTACTATTATTTTATTTTTCCCCTCAGAATGCCAGTTCGCCTCTTCTTCTCCCACAGCATTATCAGCAAAAAAAAACAAAACACACACCCAATCACATACTTCCTTTAGTCCACGATGTGTATTAGGATGGTACGATCAAACATATCCCCTTCTACCCCCCACCCCAATAATCCTACACCTCACCACCACGTTTTTCTTTCTGTTCTTCGTGGCTTTGTGAATATTACTTCAATGGTACGGCCGGCATCAGACATCATCATATCGTCCTTCGCATTGCGCGCTTCCAAGTGTGAAGGAACGCCGTAATCCTTAATTTCCTTCTCCAACTCGAACTCCCCGGAAAGTGTCGCCGTTGTAGTAACTTCACGCCACCTCTATTGTATTTGGGGCGGTTATCATCCACATTTTGTTCTTCCCAGGCACATTTTTTAAAGGAAGATACCATGTTTTGCCTTGGATAAAAATCGTCTGAGAATCCCAGAACATGTTCGATTCCGTGTGCCATTGTGCGAATGGTATAATTTGTCTGTTTCACAGAGTAGGGGGGTTGATATCAACAATAGAAGCGTGGGGGCGTCCATTACTCAACCGGTGGTAATCGATTGCCCACGCCACCGCACTTACTCCTGGCACGGCACTCACGTAGAGATATAAATCAGCGCCAATCAGACCGGTAGTGCGGTGTTCCTCAGTGGTGTTATAATGACGGCAATGCCGTTGGCCTGACATTGAGGCGATAGGAGTATTCTGCTCTCGTACCACAGAGATACGCTCCGTGTACAGTTTAATTGCCGCGGAAATA